TGTCGAACGGGTCCGTTACATCGACAATGGACACCGCATTCCCCCTCTTTATCACCAGGTCCGGGCGCAGTCTCTGAGTCACAATCGACATGTTTTCGGCGTCCCCGCTGCTTTCTTTATTCTAGCCACAATAGCATCGTGCCTCACCAAGTAGAGCGCGGTGTACCGCATACAGTGATCGACGACGTGGGATAGGCTTTCTGTTATGTACCCACATCGCCGACAACTACGGTCATCGGCCCTCCATTAAGAGGAGCCGTTCAGCGGCACCAAGTTCAACCGCGCCTTGTAGATGAGCCTCCAGTCCGCGAACCGCGTGAAATCTCCCGACTCGATGAAGTGCGTAGAAGCCGAGTCGACCGCCACGCACTCCATGGCCCTGCCTTGGTCCGACTTCGCGGCAAGGGCCTCAGACCTCTTCAACCTCTTCAGACAGAGCGACTCCCGGATGGTCCTCATGACCTCCAGACGTTACTTTCGCCGGAGAATCGCCCCGCCATGGGTAATGGCTGTATTGTCACCATCCACAGTCCAAGAGACGCCTAGTCGTTTTGATGCATTACGTGCTCTTGACCAAACATTGGCCACACCACCATACCCACGCGATTCGCGGAATACGCCGTCCTCTTTACCTGACAGATACAGGCCCACCTCGGCCACATCCGCGTTCTTCCGTAGACGCATCCCAGTCGTCTCCTGTGCATGGGCTGTCGCGTCCGATACTAGGCGGTCGTCCGGTGACGTGAACAGCTTGAAACCGCTGTCGACCGCCGCGATGTCGCTGTCTTTCGCGAACAGTAGTATGCCACATCCACCGCATGCCGTCGAACCATAGTGGGATTCTCCGGCGGCCTCCTACAGAAGATTAAAAGTCTTCTTCAATTCCAGCCGGAATTCACCCTGTGAATGAACATCTAGTCCGCGCACCGCGTAAAGTCTATCGATTTGATGAAATGCGTAGAGCATTTTTGGTTTTTTTTTTTTAATAATAATGATTATAACGATATTGATAAAAGATAATGGTTATTTGTTGATAAGCTCATGATAAACGTGATAAAATAAAATGGAAACATATTTGTATGTTTTCGTGTGAGTTTTCAGTTTAATTCTATGGTTGCAATTGTTGGTGTTAAATTGAATAGAATCCATACCAAACTTTACAAAAAATTTAACAAAAGCAGTACATACTACTTAGGTATATTTAAAATGTAATATTTACCATTATTGTTGCAATCATTTTACCATAATATGACATATTAAATATTTTTGACACAACAACTCTATCAACTTAACTCTGCTCAGAATGGTTTTTTTGTCAGCATTGATTAATCGTTGTCCAGAAATGTACAAATTACCGTCTGTATCCGACCTTCCTAACATCCCACTTACAACAGTGGCTGCACCCACATGCGAAGTATGTCCATCCTTTTTTCATATTCTTTTCATTTATTGTGGTTTATTTAATTTTTTTATTTAGAATTAGTCATTTCTTCCTCTTTTTAGTAATTCTGATATTTTATACTATTAATACTTACCATTTTTTTTTTTTTATACATTTTTAATTTTTTTACTGTTAATTATACCTATATCATAGTAACATCAAAAAATAATATATTTTTTTGGTATCTTGTTGGTTGAGAAGATAATTTAGTTACAATAAACAGTATTCCTGAACAGAGGGTTATTACTGGGTTATAAGGACACCATAGTTAGGTTAATGTTGTGGTTTTCAATCCATATACAAGTTCTTTACCATCAATGGAATCATATTAACTTGGGTGCTACTGGTTTGAATCCGTGGAACAAGGCATACAATTATGAAAAATGTTATATTTAAAATTTATTGTTTTAATATATTTGTATATTATATACTAAAAATCCGATCAAAATTAGTGATATTACATAATACATCTGATAGTCTTTTTTTTTAATCTTTAATTTTGGATAATTTTGTTGACCAGTATAAAAAATAATATCTTAATAAAATTTGAAAAATATGAGATTTTATGTTTATTTGTTTTTATATACATAATATAGAATAACCCATATTACATTAATTTTCCTTTTAATGAATCTGATTTAAAATATATATATTTTTTTTTATTTCTATGTTACATTAATCAACAATTTAATACAAATAATTGTATGTTTTCATTTTTGTGAAATAAGAGTATTGATTTTAATTTATACATTTGTTTTTTTAAAATCATGAATATTTATAAATTTTTTTTGTTTAGTTAATTTTTAATTAAGTATTTAATAATTTTTGGATTGAAAATTTTTTTTTTTTATTTTGATTTTGAAACTTAAATTTATAATATATTATACTTTCATGTACCTAATATTTATTTGTTAGGATTTGTGGATAAAATTTTTAGACCAAACAAAAATGCTTGAAAATTTATCAGGAGGTTCATTATAAGTTGTACTTAGTGGTTGACAATAAAATGTTGAGTTTAATGTAAGTACAAAATACTTTTTTTATAAGAATTAGAATATCAAATATTTTGACGAATATCCTTAATATAACGGTCTTTTAAAACGTGTATAACTTACAAGTTACAGATATAAATGAAATAACTTTATGTATCTACCTATCGTATTATCTCCTCAACTTGTTACATTGCATTAATTATCAACATCATTATATTTTATGTACACTGCGTACGAAATTAAAAATTAACATAATATTAAGAAATTTAAAAAACTACAGTGATACAGTAATGAATAAGTGTAAAATTAGGGTAAAAAATTAAGCGACGTGTTCGGGAATCGAACTCGAGACGGACAGGTGGCAATGTACCGTGAACGTCAGTGCACTGGATATACTTGCAGTGCGCGGCGGTAATATTTAACGTTTTTAAAGTATAATAGAACGCACTTTTTTACGGGACTTTTCCGTACTAATGTTATAAACGAAACCTCAATCATCAGGGGTCGACTTACGAAGAAAAAAAATGTTATTCGTGTCCTATGTTTATGGCACAGTTTCCCCCGTGAAAAATCTAAACAGACGTTGGCGTTTATAATATTTTAAGTAGGATAGGTACGAATCTTGTAATTCGGTAATGTCGTATCATAATGATAATCGTATCTCTTAAAGTAACCGACTTACCTCAGGAACGATCTGGAATACATTATCGTATGCTATTTACTTTTAGGAAGGATGTTTAAAAATGATATTGGGCCGTTCCCGGTGATGGTGCTAAACCGGGACAACCCGCGACGGAGTAGGAGCAAGCCCCAAACTCTCCGCCTACTTTTAAAAAATTAGTTTAACATGAGAACCCCTCGATGAGGGGTGTATCAGATGTTAAGCTGATAAGAACAGATACTACACTTTGATCTTAGCCGATAGGCCGAGAAGCGATACCACACAGTCACAAACCACAGGTACTTATGCTAAAACCTGCAATCCTACTGATTTAAAAAAAAAATTTGAGCGACGCCGAAAACTTAAAAATTTCGATTTTTCCGATTGCCGCTCGTTCAAATTCGCGTTTCAACAGCATTTTTCAAAAGTTTACGACCATATTTACTTTGTATGAAGCTCAATGCGATCGTAAAAATTACGAAAAAGAACACCGCTTCAATGTAGAACATCAAAAAGCGCCATCTACCGCCATAGTTTAACGGTTTGCGCCCGTAGTTTCCCAATACGCGTTCGCTGAACGTAGTTGCAATACTTGTTCACGTTCAGTAATAATCGTGTCTATCCGTATATTTTAATATACCTACGTGATCGTATCGCGTGAAATAAATGATGATTTGATAATAAAGCGAAACTATTTCTGGACGGAACAAATTGGTACCTATTTAGTAACAATGTCAAAAAAAAAAAAATGGTTCACTGTTTGTACGCGTTGTGATCGCCGACTAATTCACCGACAATTTCGTATTATTATTATTATTATTGCGTGAATATGCACTGGATTTAATTCATTTACTATACGGACTGCAAGCTAGGAATGTAAGCACGGTCAATTTTCGCCGATTACTTTTTGCAAGTGTGTTTTTACTGAAAACATTTGCGTGTGACGCCTAAAATTGAACGTCCAAACGTGAATGAATATTCATAATGTGCCAATAGGACGGAATAGTTGAGGTGTTTGGAATGGTGACCAGAGAAAATTCCCGCGCAGCGTCTACACAGTACTCTATAATATCTCTGCGCGGTGAAAAAAAAAAAATTATAATAATAACGATGGTAGGCAGATTAGTAATAGCGACGGTTAGGTATATAACACATAATATAATATATTAAATATATGTGTGTGTATTGCATTTTTTTTTTTTCCGTATACGAACCGACAGCAGTGTGGCATTTGTTTTTATAATAGTCACTTCCCTACCCGCTGAGGAAGGTAATCGGAACTCTGAATAATCAGTCGACAGTTCAATTTCCACTCTATCGTATTTGTATTGATTATATTTTACTTGCTATTAGTAAAAAAAAAAAACTTTTCGTTATTCTGTCTTCCGCTTTTCGAGACATCCTAATAGGTACGCTGTAAAAACGCTAACATCAAAACCGTTGACCGTGTAATACGGTAGTAAATGATGTTTTTTTATTAAATTTTGATGAAAATCATGAATATTACAGCTTTTTAAAACGTGTATATTATACACTGTATAAATGAATTTCGCTCCAAATCGTTTTTCTTTAGCAACGGTCTATCGTCGCTTACAAGTTACAGATAAAAATTAAATAACTTTATGTACCTACCTATCATATTATCTTCCCAACTTGTTACATTGTATTAATTGTCAACATCATTATATTTTATATATACTGCGTACGAAATTAAAAATTAACATAATGTTAATAAATGAAAAAAACTACAGCGATAAACTAATGAATAAGCGTAAAATTAGGGAAAAAAATTAAGCAACGTGTTCGGGAATCGAACTCGAGACGGACAGGTGGCGATGTACTGTGAACGCCACTGCATCGCTATGCTTGCATTACGCGGCGATAATAATTAGCATTTTTAAAATATAGTAGAACGCACTTTTTTACGGGGCTTTTCCGTATTAATGTTATAAACGAAACCTCACTCATCAGGGATCGACTTCGAAAAACAAAAAAAAATGTTTTCATATTATGTTGTCCGTGACCTACATTAATGCCTTTGCATTAATGTAGGTCATTAATATTTCATCATCATGAAACATGCAAAACCCAAATAAAACAACGGTGTTTATGATATTATTTTAAGTAGGATAGGTACGAATCTTGTAATTGGATAATATCACATCATAATATTATTATATTGTATATTATGAACTACTGAAAATGAAAAAATAATTTTCGGCAATATGTTGACATGCGAGACCAATTCTATGCACAATGACCGGTGAGGGGATGTAGGATCCGACATTTAACAAAACCGAGCGGCCGGAGAATGGTTTTAATGACGATTTTCTAAACCGATCTTAAAATCTCGACCGAGGGATCACACTTAAGAACGAAAAGTTGAACACTTATATGACTTGTTGCTTATAGAGAGTTTGATCGTATTTGATATTGGGCCATTCCCAGCGGTACTGCAGTACCGGGACGACCCCGCAACGGAGTAGGAGCAAGTTCCGAATTCTCCGTTTATTTTCCAAAAATTAGATTAACATTATTATATAATTCAGATGTTAAGCTGATAATAACAGATTTTATTAGTTCTTTAAAAGGTACATACATAAATGGGACAAACGACTTTTTCTCAAATACAACGGAAGAAACACGGGGAGGGGGGAGACATGTTTATATTAAAACGCCGCATTGGCACAAAAATCATCTTAAATTATTAAAAAAAGAACAAAACAAAAACAAAAAAATAATAACAAAAAAAAAACAATTTATATATATATATATACGTATACATAGGAACATGAGTTAAGATAAAAAAAAAGGTGAAAAATAAATAAATTTAAATTCGGCCTCTGCCGCACCCCCGTAATGTGTTCGATATATACGTCTCTGGTGGACCTGACGGTGTCACTGACACACAACTTGCACATCGGGTCTCCGTATCTCCGGCTGCATAGCTGGCGCATGGACCACCGGTTGTTAGCGGGGTCCCATGAGCCCAACGCGCCGACGATGAATGGTACCACCTCAGCGCCGCCATGATCCCTAGCAAGCTCCGCCCTCGGCCGCTCGTACTTCTCTCTTTTGGACCCGGCCGCATCTTCGAAGACGGCCATCCTGTTGTCGAACGGGACCGTTACGTCGTCGACAATGGACACCGCATTTCCCTTCTTGATGGCCAGGTCCGGGCGCAGCCTCTGTGACCCAATCGACTGGTTTTCGGCGATCACCTGGTACCGCGTCCCGGCTTGCTTCCTTGGTCATGGCCACAATAGCATTGTGCCACGCCAAATAGAGCGCGGCGCACCGCATACAGTGATCGACGACGTGGGATAGGCTTTCTGTTATGTACCCACATCGCCGACACCTGCGGTCACCGGCCATCCATGACGAGGGGCCGTTCAGCGGCACCGAGTTCAGCCGCGCCCTGTGGATGAACCTCCAGTCCGCGAACCGCGTGAAGTCTCCCGACTCGATGAAGTGCGTAGAAGCCGAGTCGGCCGCCACGCACTCCATGGCCCTGCCTTGGTCCGGCTTCGCAGTAAGGGTCTCAGACCTTTTTAGACGGAGTGATTCACGGATGGTCCTCATGACCTCCCGACGTTGCTTTCGCCGGAGAATCGTCCCGTCATGGGTAATAGCGGTATGGCCACCGTCCACGACCCGAGGGACGCCTAAGCGCTCGGACGCATTACGCGCTCTTGACCAAACACCGCCATAACCGCGCGATTCGCGGAACACGCCGTCCTCCTCACCCGACAGGTACTGGTCCAACTCGGCCACATCCGCGTTTTTCCGTAGACGCATCCCAGTCGTCTTCTTTGCATGGGCGGTCGCGTCCGATGCTAGGCGGTCTTCCGGTGACGTGAGCAGCTTGAAACCGCTGTCGACCGCCGCGATGTCGCTGTCTTCCGCGAGCAGCCGTATGCCGCATCCACCACGTTTCGCCGAGCCATAGAGGAACTCTCCGGAGGCCTCCTGCGGAAGATAGAAGGTCTTTTTTAATTCTGGCCGGAGGATCCGATCTATCGTGGCCCAGTCGGATTTTGAAAAAGTTCCCATTCGTTGCATGTGGACAGTAGATGGGTAGAAGAAAGTTTTGAGGGCGTCAATCCGTTGCCACGGGGCCAGCTTACTCCGTGCTATCTTTAGACCAATGTCTGTTATTTCAGCCAGGGAGGCCATTCGAGGGACGATGTTGAAGCCCACCTGGGCTCCCAAGAACGTGGCTGCCTCGCCTTCCCTCAGCAGCTTCACCGGGACACCGTCCACTCGGAAGCTGGTGTCCCACACCCAAACTGGCGTACACCCGGAAAAATGAACACTTGGCAGCATTCAGCTGCAGACCAACTGATCTTAGTCGTGTGGGTGTAGCGTCTATTGATCGCTGCAATCTATCCGGCGTATCCTCGATGAAGCACAGATCGTCGGAGAATGCCAGGACACTGTGGACATCAGCGTCTGCTTGAATGGCCGTGACTACCGGTCGATGGCTAAAATGAACAATAAGCTACTAAGCGGGCAACCTTGTTTAATGCCTGACCTAATATCAATGGCCGCTGTAGTTCCCGGCGGCCACGCTAACGCTGGCCGACGCCCCGTCGTACAAGTCCCTCACGATCTCGACCAGGCCACTTCTAGCCCTGCACGCCGAGATCGCCGCCTCCAGGGCCATATGTGGAATTGCACCGAACGCGTTCGATATATCGAGCCACGCCACACACCTATCGGCTCGACCGGTCCTCGCCTTTTCGAGAGACCGATTAAGCGTGTGGACATGTTCGAACGCTCCGTCCGCAGGTAGGAACCCCTTCTGGCAAGGACTAAGTACACTGTTTCGGACCAGCCAATCCGTGAGACGACCTTCAATGCACCTAGCGTATAACTTGTACAGAGTTCTGCTGAGGGAAATAGGCCTCCAATTAGTAACGTCAGTCACATCACCCTTGGCAGGATCTGTTAAATGTATGTAGTTATTTCCTCCATATAGCTTGTTTGATCGTTTTATTCCACTGAATGGACTAGTCACCCTACGATTTCATGATTTCTTACATAAAGCTGACCTTGAGACATGATTGTATCTAGATGAAAATTCCCGACTGGAAAATAGCCACAGATTAATATCCAATTCCATAGATATAAAATATGAACGTATATTTTTTATCTTGTCTGTTATATTTGATTATTATACGTTTTAAATTATGATATAAACATATAAATAATACAATAAAATCGATGAGATTAAATTTTTAAAAATGCACATAATATTTATGCAAAACATATTTATGCGTAGTGCTCAAGGAAGACACACTAGTTGTTTATATGTGAAGCATAGGCCAAGGTAGTCCTCAGGATTGCGTTTCTTATCGTCGTTTGTGTATGGCATTCTTATCACGGTGATATTTGGATAACCTGATAAACACAGATAATATTAACACATTATTACAAATGTAGGTAAATTATCAACACTACTATGGTTTTCCTACTACCTAAAAACACTGAAGTGACTAGTTACTATGAATAAAATTTAATCATGAATTAGTTTTTATTTTCTTAGAACTTCAAAATGCTCTTACAATTTTTCTTAAAACCATTTCTTTATGGGAAGATAAAACTACTTGTTCTACAGCGTTACAACTGTTATCCACAATCCAGAGTATTGAATTCCAGATAATCCTAAGTACTTCAGCCAAGTTTTTTGTTATAACTTCTCTCTTGAGTCGTTTATTAAAAACAGAAAACCTTGATTAATCAACTGCGATGACTTTTACAACAAACTTTAAAGGCATTTTACTTAACATACAGAATGTTTACATCAGATGAGTGTTAGATGATAAACAAATTTTGTCAAGTTTTTAATGTCTTTTTCCACCAAAAATAAATAATTTAGAATTCAAATAATGAAAAGATTGTTAACTGCAGTAAACAAGAAAATATCGGAGAACTTAAATTATGATGGAAGTAAGTAAGTCAAATTAATGAAAATCTTAAAATTGCTCGTTCAGCTTTACATGTATTTGATGAAAAAATATTTTCTATTGTACAAAAACTTCTATTCATTCTTATTATTTTACCAGTGCCTCCCCCGAAACAACTTTTTTGACTCTTCACCGTCTCAAAACCTAATGTACAAAATACAACTAGATTAGATTAAATTAGTTTAGTAATGTTAGATATTTATCGGGATATAGAAATTTCAACAGGCGCTGTACTTGATGAATTATCAAAAGTATAAAGACGAATTAATATTAAATCGTAAAGTGTTGTTAGACTATAAAATATACATTTTTTTGAAATTTAATTAATTGTGCTATGACTTTAAATATAAGAAGAATATAATTGTATATATATATTAAAAAGTTTGAAACTTCAACTATATCATTTAGAAAAAAATCTGGTCTTAAGATAATATTAAATAGTAATTGGTCTTAAGTTTTATCATTGTGGCTAACAAAAGACAAAAGTTTTGCATCTCCTATGCAAGCCATATTCTGCAGCATACTCGGACAGAAGCGACTAATTTTATCATACTTTTATTATCACTGAAGTGTTCATGATTATAACAATAATGATTGGTACATTAAAGGAACAATTATTCTCAGCCGCCAAAATGTGGACAGTCAAGGTACTTAGCAGAACAAAATGATTTGAAACAATCTTAAATCTACTATAAACGATCTTTGTTAATTCTGAATTTATACTGATTTAGCTAGAAATTAGAGACATTAAAACTGACTTCCCCATAAACAGGCAGATATTTTAGATGTTTTAGCTGTTAAATAGAAGGGAATAAACAGATTAAATGTCTCAGAAGAGGAGGGGAAGAATAGGGATTTCTCCAAAAACATAATGTTGTAGACATCAATATTATAATAATGGATATTGAAACATAAACTGGACTTACCAGGTAATACAGGCCGATTGATTTTAGTGGAATACTTTTCACATTTCTGATAAAGGACTGAACATACATCTGTAAAATCAAGCAATTTGTAAAATTAGAATGTTATAAACAATAACTATTATTATAATAGGTACTTGGAATTTGAATACTAGAACAGGTAGCACTTACCCTTTACCAGCTGTATACAAATCCAGTAGTTCTTGTGCGCCAAATATTGACCATTAACTTTAAAGTCCATCATCTGCAAGGTTCCTTCTGTGTCCTTATGGTAATTAATGCACCTGGATGGCGTCTGTTCCATAGAACCTATCTGAGTAAACTATAGGAGAAAAACAGTAATTTTAGTAGCATATACAAATTAATTACAATGAGACACTACTTTACTCACTGATATTTCATAGCCGGTTGAAGTTGGCCTGGCCCAGAATGATTTTGAACATAATGCTGTCTTCTGTGTTGTTGTGGATATTGTAGTATACTATGTATAAAACCAATACAATAATATTTTATGACTTACAATCAAAAATAAAAGAGCAACTATAGGGATTAAGGGTAGGAACGTATGCGAAAATATTTGGTAATATATTGTTGACAAAGCAACTGTATCAATCCAACTCCGCTCAGAATGGCCATCGTAAGAACTTTTTTTTATTATTATTTGATCTTATCTATATATTGCTGTTAAAAAAAATTTAATTTTAAATCCAAAAACATTATTAGTTTGCCAATACATATACTAGATGTGGTAAACTTTGAAAACAAATTTGAGTCCTTTTTGAACTATTTATGGACATTTTTTTTAATTTTGTGAGTTTTTTTATTTGGCAGGTACTCGTGGATAAAATTGTTAGATTAGGTTCATTATAATTTATAAGTAGCACTTTGTAGTAAAAAAAAAAAGACGTTCTAGAATTATAGGGACGGGTGCAGCCACAGTTGTAGGTAAATTAATGTATACCTGTAAGCAACAATAAACCATTATTTACAAAAAACGATTCTGAGCGGAATTCACTTGATAAAAATGCTTTTTCAAAAATATATATGCTATATTGTATTAAAATAATTAAATATGCTCTACATATTTTCTTTAATTTGTTTAATGTTGTACTGATGTTTTTCTTGGTTTACTCCCCTGTTTTTCACATTTGATGAAAAAACTCTTGCAATAATTGAAAAATGACCCACTTAACGTACTTCTCCACATCAATTTCCTTTTATATAAGTTGCTACATGTAAAAATCGGAGCAAGATATCTGGTAAAAAATTTATCCACAAAAAGGAAAAAAAAAAAACAATTATAAACATCTTTGTAAAACCATAACCTTCTTCACTGCACTCAAAATCTAAAACTGACTTAGGTAGAATTTTTTTTTGTAAAAATTTTAATATCAAATTTTAATGAAAATCATAAATATTATGGGCTTTCAAAAAATGTATAATATGTTTTTCGTTTACAATAATTAATTATTATGTACATATTTACATTGAATCATACCTTCCCTAGTTACTTACTGCTCACCTACAACAGTGGCTGCATTATATGTATGTTTATATATTTTATTATATTTATATTCTTGTATTATCCATCTAAACTCTAAATTAATTAAATCAGCACCTAAATGAAACAAGTATTATTTCTAAAATTTAATACAACTTTACTACTATTATTATCTACTATATAGTTTAGAATCTAGATTATTATATTGAAAAAGAAAGATGTCCTAGGATAATAAAAGTCTTTGTAAAACTATAAGCTTCTTCGTTCCACTTAGAATCTAAAATATACGTAATCTTATTTAGGTAACTAATTGATTAACATTGCCTAACATTAAGGGCCCTGAAAATGAATCACCGTTGTGCCAACGATTTGTAAAATATACACAATATTTACATAACTTGGGAAATGGTGTATGTACTTACAATGTTTGCCATCATAGGAACCACAAATTGTGAAATTTCTGGGCTCTCCTTCAGTAACAGTGAATGAGTCTGTATCACAATATCCTGAGTTCACACCAGCCGTCACCTGAAAATGTAATATTAAATAAATATTTAATTAGGCCGTATAATAATAATAATCAAATTTATACCAAAGTGAAGTTGATAAAGTCTAATCGAAACTGACTGACATATTTATTGAACTTTTTAATAGGGAACAAATACTCGCCAGCATTACTAATCTCTTTTGGGAAATCAGGGTTAGTTAAATACATATTGATGTTATCAACTTCAGTGTTATTCAGGGTGACATTAAAAACTTCAGTAACTGCAGAAAACCACAAAAGTTACATAATATTATTATATTCAGATAATTCAAATTGAAACCACCCAATAAACAAAGCTGGTTATATTAATGATACATTTAACTCAGTTTAACTTAAATTGAAATCTGTTATAATGTTAATAAATATAATTTAATTCAAGTTAGCCACCAATTAAATTAAGTTAGAAGTAAACCAAAAGAGTGATCAAACCACACTGAGAGAAAATGTGAAATATTGTATATTTCTGTATTAGAACATTAAAAACATAATTACCTACTAATTTGACAAACAGTGTTAGTATTTTTATACAAAATATGTAATTAAAATAATCAGCATACATATGCCATACTCCAATTAAAAATTTACCTATATTATCAAATTTCACAACTACAGAGGGAGAATAGTTAAATTAAACAACATAATTTTAGGATTTTGGAATAACGTTTAAGATGGATATCTTGAAATTGCCAACAATTTTAGTGTTTATTTTCTATTATTATAAAAACTCCTAGAAAAATCAAAAAATTACCTCCCTAAAGTACCACCCTATTCAGATTTAATTTCGGAAAAAGTGCTAAACTTGAAAATCAAAAGGAAATTTCTTTTAGAAGAATTGTTCATAGATAAAAAAAATTAATAGCAATAATAAACCATCTTTGAGAATCTAAAATATGAAAGTCTTGGGTATAAACTTAGCAAATAAGGTACTCATGGCAGTCAATTTGTTAAACAGAAAACAAGTAAATTGTTTATATCAACAATAAATAATAATGATTATTATTTTTTCTTTATAAAATTTAAATATTTTAAATTATAACTAAAAAAAAATTTACAGTTTACTTATTTTGTCATTAAAATAACAAGGTTTGAATACTTAAATAAAATCAATTTTGTTTAGTTATTTTAAGAATGCTAGATATAAAAAGTTTGGGAACCATTGTTCTATACTGTAGGTTACTAATTATATAAGTATATCTATAGTATCTATACTCTACAATCTACATATATAGATTATAATAATAATAATATCCACTGAAAACCACCAATTGATAATTGATAAACCAGTCTTGATAAAAATAAACACACACATGTGTAAGGTTATTATTATTATACTTATTATACATACAAATACAACAAACTGTATAACCCAACCAGATATTCTGCCGTGTAGTTTGCATTTGGTAGAACTAACACATTCACCTAAAATCAAAAAAAAAGGTATCAAAAATAAATAAAATACATGAAAAAAAATTATGATAATAATAATATTCTATTTATATATAGAAACTTGAGAAGGTGTATGATTATAATACAGGGTAATTAATTGGCCACTAGTTCAAGGTCATGTACAGGTTAGGTTAAGTTAGCAAACTTTTAGGAGGTGACCTCTCATGTTTTTAATTAGCATAGTTAACAATGTGAGCCTGCCCTGAGATTTGGAAAACAGGATTTTACAAAAAACTTAATTATATTCAATAATAAATGACGGCAGTAGTGGATAGAAATTTAAAAAAACTGAGCCTCCACAGGTTTAGAGCTGAAATCTAAATTAACTAAAATTGAAAAATAATTAAATAATTTGTAACTATACAAAAATATTTGTATATGATATTGTTTATGATATTGTCTGTGTGGTTGCCCAAAAAATGTTTGAGAATTTTTATGAGCTAAAAAAGTATTATTTATAAAATGTGAAATGCTTTGATTTTATGATTTATCAATAAGAAAAACCAAACATTTCATATTTCTTATTCAAGCAACATGTATAAATATGCTGTTTGTTGCGAACAGTATAAACATTTGTAGCCAAATAGGATAATGTTTTTATTCTGACCCTAACCATAGAGTACTACAGTATAATAATTTTTGAACATTTCAAAGTAACAAAATAATAAAATAAAAACAAAATTATTAAATGGTTAATACTTGTAAATAAATATACAATTAAAAATATAAAATAAATTATTTTATGTAAAATTACCAATTTGTATAATTTTTTTTCTCTATGTATTTCTTTATTTGTTTTTATATATTCTACCACATTTATTTATTTACTTTTACATATTAGTTAATTATTTATACATTTACTTAAAAGAAAATTTTTTTTAAAAAAATAAATTATATCCCTTAAAATAAAAGAACTAATACTTCCAGGTGTACTTAGGTGTGGTATAAAATAATAAAATAGTGTTCAACCAGAAATAATCATAAATTAAATTCATAGCTATAATTATTTTTATAATATAATCTCTTCCAATGTAATTTAACTGATAATACAATACTTATACAAATTATTTTCTTAATTAGCAAATTCTTATATTTCAATAAAAAACAAAAACTAAATACCATGTTCATAATTTTACTGTAAAAATCTACGATTTAAAATTTAGATTACTAATTTTAAACTATTCTTAGTTTTAAATGAAAAGTATGTCTTTAGTGACTAAAAATACAAGTAATTTAGAATACATATTCGAACATTTTTTCTATATTCTAATTTTAATACATTTATTCAAATATTTTACAAGACTACCAATTAATATGCTTTAGGTACCTGTTAGTTTAGAGTCATCATTTGAAATGCATATATTGTGTTCCAGCCGATTGGGTTCCTTCAAAATAGCTATAAACAAATATCATAAGAAAATAAATTATAAATATTAATCAGAGAACAATAAGTATAGATACTTAAATAATATTATTAGTTCTTATTGTAAGTAGCCATGATTGATGGGATTACAAATATATATATTGTGTTATGTTAATTATATTAATATTAATTTATTTTTGGACGTTTTAGTTTTGACCTAGTGATGTGATCTTTTGATACGTGCTTTTGAGTTTTTACCTACCTATATCATATACAGTAGCATACGGAAGGGAGTTATTTCCTTCCACATGTTGTACCCATTATATTTTTTTTTTAGTTGATTTGCTACAAGAATACAGAACCTATATATATAAATTTAAAATATATATATTTATTTGCTTTAAATTCACAGTTCATATTTAAAATAATATAAATAAAAGACATTAAATTGGACGAAATATTCAACATAATAATATATTTTATACACTATATAATTTGAACTAGAAATTTATTTTGATGATGCTTAGTTAACAATAAATTACAAATTAAAATAATTTATATAGAATAGGCAATTATTTCTGAATGTTCTTCTTCATCTATTAGACACATATCCAGTTGTCAATATTTTTATCTGGTGGTATTTTATTTCTTCTTTTTTTTTTTAAGTTAATTTACTTTGATCTTTGAGTTTTAATTTTTAAAACTCTCAGACTAAAAAAATAGTATTATACCAAACAAAACATAAAACAAATGATTATGACTGTTAAATGTTATGTAACAAATAGTCATTCATTGACAATATCAAGATACGGTGTCCCAACAAATTCATTAATTATCAAAGAGAGGATAATAAAATTGTTATGCCAATAACAATTGTGAAATAACAGTGAAAAGTTTGTAGTGAACATTTCAAAAAGAGGGACATAATAGATATATGAAAGTTAATGAAGTACAGAAAGTAGTAAGTATTCAGTAAATGGATTTTCCAAAACTACAATAAATAATATTGATATTTTTAAAAATTAATATCAACTTTAGTATATTTATAATTATTATAAATCTAAAACTGTTATTAAACAAAAATCAGTTTAACTTAGAATCAATTGAATTAATCTGAAATAGTAATTTTTAATATTTAATGATTTTATTTTTACAGATAAAGAAAAAAAACTATATTATTATACATATTCTAAATTTTTTGGTAGCTATGGTGTTATCTAACAGATATTTTGCTCCTTAGCATATTATGATGAGTACTCAAGTCCAGGTGAATCTATGTACAAAGTGCTTATGCTTTTATACAGGCACGGAGTTAAGTATTTTAAAGAGGGAGGTTTTTAAACAGTATAATTGGGGAATGAGCTTCACGAAATTTCAATAATAAATTAGAATACAAGTCCAAATACCAGCACCAAAATTTTAATAATTAAAAGGGCCAACGAGGTCAAAATCAATTTAACATTTGAGCGAAAACCATTTGTGCCAACGATAACTAAGTTAAGTTTACTTGTTCCATAAGTATTGAAAATCATTAACAACATTTCAAAACTCTTAAGGAAATCTTCTAGATACTAAACATTGGGAAGAGAAATATTAAGATGTATGATTTTGTTTGAACTTCACATAGTTTTATTCATGGATTTTAAATGCCTCCCAAATATATTATAATATGATCATAGAACAAAGTACCAACTAAAGCATTTAGTAAGAATTCAAAGGATTTAATAGGTGAAAAATATATTTTTAGCTTAAATACTATCGAACAGAAGGGATGGTCCCCTACTTATTCGCCTTTACGTACTTCGTCCATCCGATGTGACATATGGGTTCTCAGCTTTGCTAACGGCCAATACAAACAAAAATACCAGCAACAAGTGAGATTGTTTGAACGATGACGAAGATGTCGCTTTCATGGTTACCGGTCACGATTCAGTATGATTGATGAATGAAAATAATTATAATAATGATAATAACGTAGAAAATATTAGTCTTACACGTGGTTACGTGGCAAAATAAATGTCTTGTAATACGAGAGAATAATCTCTGCAATGAGAGGGGTACAGTCATAGACAATTATAATACTCAGGACAAAATAAATCGCATTTTTACTGATACATACACTCCTCACCAGATTCCGTCTAGTGCTTAGTTCGGCCGCTTCTTATTGGTCGTCAAAATTAATATTATGAATGTCCATCATCAGTAGTAGATTAAAGGCCAGTTAGACCAGATAGTAAAAAAAAAAAAAATTATATCGCTAATAAAACAAACGGTTCTTATCAATACCTTTCTTTGGAATAAACGATACAGTTTCTGCATAATTTCTGCATATACAAAATAACTTTGCTTCTTTCTATCTTTCTCAGACATACTTTTTTCACATCAATAAATGAAAAAGTTGAATAAAATAGAAATTTCGCAATGTTAAACTGTTCAGTATTAATTAAAAGTACAATTAAAATGACAAATTTAGTTAATAATAGATATCTGTCGTTGTCACAAAATAAAAATTATATAACCCTGGAAGATTAGACAAACCTCCTTGATAAAATCAATATATTCCGGATAACTATCTTATACTTAAAAAGTCCTTCATAAATTGACACTCAGATATAACTAATAGTGTTACTTCCAAGTTTCTTCACTGTTAGTTTAACTGGAAATTGAGAAAATAGGCCTTAGTTAATGCTGCTACTAACTATGACTGGCGACTACTATCAATTTGAGCAAATGCTGAAACATAATATATTATATTATTATGTCCACTTTAAATCATTAATACCTGGGTATATATTTTAAAATAGCCATTGCTAATAACGTAATTGTGTCGTTTATTGCAGGTAGGCAGGTACTGATAAAAACCGTTTGTTTTATTATCAATAACGCGGGTTTAATTTGCGGGAATGAGGAATGGTAAGTGTTCAAGTGATAGGATGTTTCTTTATTCGCTTGAGGCATAGATTAAATAAACTATTATATATTTAATCCATGTGTGGGTATTTATTCAGTACTTGTCAAAAACGCTATTCACTTTAAGTTTCTAATAATTTCGTTCGAATTCATTTCCGGACTTAACACTCATACTAGTACATAATTCGATATACGGAGCCATCCATTTCGACTGCTTGAAACAGATAATTCTATGAACTTTTGTTACATTAATGCCGTTAGCGATGGTTTGCTTTCAATTACGATAGTGCATGATATAATTTTGTTTGGGAGTCAGCGTTGTTAAAAGTTTCGGGACTTTAGAATTTGGTGGACATGTATTTTTAGAAAAAAACAAAATTTGTAATGAGTTTTATAAAGGTTTTTGGGGTAGTCTTTGTCGACTTCTAATATATAGTCGTATTCGGCATTGTCCTCAAATTTCATTATGTTTGTTGTCAAATCATCATACCATTGGAAATTTGACTGAGGTAACGGTTCTAGCATTGATTTACCGTAAAGATTAACACAATCCAATTAAGTTAACTTTGTATTTGGTTTGTGTTCATCGTAATTTCCTACATTAGGTTTATTAGCATTGGCATACTTTTTTACAGAATGATAAATCCCTCCACGTTATACCTTGCTCAAGCACTAATTGCATTTCATAATCTTGTAGCTTCTTAAACTTGATATTAGAATGTTTTAACATACAATCAAAAGCAAAGCCAGGTGCATTCATGTAATGGGAAGGGTCTAAATTAAACATTTTCAAACAAATATCATGAAAATTTTCGAAGTCGGAAAGAAGAAAAACATCGGTTGATGTTTGACAGAAAAAAATATTGCAATATATAAATAGGATAAAGAAGTAAGTTTTGGCCCAGAATTAGGAGCAGGAATAGGGATCAAGCCACAACTAATTTTTTCGTAATTTGATTTGTACGCAGTTTTGATTATTTATTTGGCTTCTGTGGTCAGTATATTATAATTTTTATTATGGTTTTATATTTCAAAATGTATTATATTATAAGAATGTCTCCTTATATCATAAATCATCAAAAATACTTTTTAATATAATAATATATTTACTCACTTCCAATTGCATTTATAATAATAATTAAATATTGGTACCTAATTCCTATACAATACTACAATAATGAATACATAATTTAAAAAACATGAAGATTCTCTATTGCTTCTTAAATTTTTAAAATTTTTATTAGTACTATAATTAATAAATATTTTAGAAAGCAAGCCCAACATATTATAGTCCATTGTTACAGGGACGAAACATCCATTTAATGTTACACTCCTAGCAGCATTCAGAATCTTAAAACAATAAAAAAAGTTGAATTTGAATTTTAAGAATCATTCCCCATTTAAAATTATATTAAATAATTTTTTTAAATATCATATTNCCAAATCGAATAAGTACAGACAAGTATACTATTGAGATATTAATGTCTAATCGGTTCATGAGGTCACAATTTAAGTACAGTTTACACTGATATTATTTTTGTAAATTTCATACGGTAAGTATAAACTAAATTGAAGCAATTATTATTGATAACTTGTATGTTGGAAGACATAAAAAGTGTTAGAATAGTGTTAGATTTATGAATATAATACCGTATTAACATGATTTGATTTCCGAAAAAACAAAACACCAGAGCGAGCCACCAGTAACTATACACGTAAACGCAGCCAAAATTAGTAAAATGACTTATTAAATAAAAAAAAAGTAGTGAAATAATTAATTATGAACTACCATCTGAGTTATCCTACGAAACAGCCGCTTCAAAAACAAATTTGTTGGGTGTATATATGTAGTAATTTATCATAAGGTATATTAACGAATAAGACTAAGTACAGAAATGTCTAATAGCTTTATTTACCACTGTGATTCGCCAGGAATATTGGGTTGTACCTATGAAATTGTTTGTATTTTTATTTAACTGAAACTATAAAATAGTTTCAGTTTATGTAATCTCTGAATAGATTTGTGAATTTGTTATTAATTTATGAACAGAGGAAAAACATGCTCACTGACCACAAACATGAAGTTCCAGAAAGATACTCTTAGTGAAAGTATTTTAATACACACTCTAATGTATAGTCTTCTAATAAGCTAATAAATGATTATTTCAGTGAAATATTTTATTTTTATTTGTATAAAATATGAGATAAGTATTGTTTTCCTTGTAATTTAATTTCAAACAAATAACAAATAATAGGTATATTACTTCACTAAACTAAAAGATACATATTTTGAAACAATAAATAAAATTAAAAATCCAAAATCAAAAAACCAAAAGGTATGAAATATCAACAGATTGAAATGTTGACTGAAAACATCAAAAATAATAAAATTTGGACAAACCAGTTTATTATTAGATATGAAAGTAATACTGACAAAATAAATAATTTATAATTTTAATAAGAATATAAAAGTCATTTTATTTTGTTTAAATAATATTAATCATTTAAAATGAAATATTACTGTTAACAATAGTATATTATACATTTTGTTATCTGGGAATATATACTTTTTTTTTTTTTAATAATGCTTTAAAAAATTTTAAATTGTGAGTCAAACAAGGAATGTAATGATTTTACAAAGATATTTATTTTTTTTTTGTGAACATTTCTACCAGAAAGTATATTTTGANTTTTAGTTAGCAATTATATATATATATTCCTCATATAGATTTTGTATTCAATTTTTCAGCTTTTATTGTTCTATTATATGTTCATGAGTTTTTTTAAATTAAAACCTATACTGACTTTTATAATACAACAAATCTTTTTTGTTCTTTTTCTAATAATTAGTGTATTTATGGGAGTATATACAGTTGTACAGGGTTTGACACAAATAGTTGATACAGAAATAACTCTTTTTCTGTTCAATATTTTATAGTTTTAATCATTGTAATAATTTCTCTATTTGATATTTAAACTAAACATAATTAATTGTTTTTACAAAATCATTTATGCATTTTATAAATATAATTTTAAAACAAATCTTAAGTATTGCAGATATTAACTTATGATGAATCCAATAAATTTACTTATGAAGTTTCTATAAATTTGTAAAGTTAAATATTTAACAAAATTATTTTCTTAATGGAAATTTTGGTGAATAAATTGATATTATTCATTAGTGATTATAAGATCAATTTAAAGTATTATATAGTTCCAAATATTGTAGAAAAATAACATTCATAATAAGTAGAGCTAGGATTATGGTGACTATACAATTCTAACCAAAAACTAAATTTATTTCGTAATATAACAATTTAGAATATGTAATTTTTATTTTGCATTTTTTGTGTTAAATACATTTTATTGCATTTTTAAGGTCATTTTATGTAGTATTATAAATATTACGATCATTTTGTGTATTTTAAGCTTTTTTAATATGAATTGTAAAGGTAATCCCAATTAATACCTATAGGGAATTACCTACTCCAGTTCATTGATATTTAAAAAGTAATATAATTAATTGACGATTTATCTTATTGGATATAGACCCATATAGTAACTTTTTTTACTGAATACCTATGTAGTTCTACACTGATCTTAACTGTACACAATACTGAACAAATAATATATTACAGCTAATATTAAAACTTTAAAATGTCAAAAATTAAGTCAACAGTAGGAAACCGTTAACATAGTTTTGAGCTGATATTTTTTCTATGGAAGGTATGTGGCTATTTTGTAAAGTTTGTAATGTTGCAGGTGCCTCCGAAAAGAAATTTACAATTCATCAGTGATAAGCATGTTTGTGTAATTCAACGAAAACTGAATGAAGTGAAACAAAATAATCAAGGACTATTATCTAATTTTACACATAATAGTGATGAATCATCATTTAATTTAGAGCTTTGTGAAACATTATTAGCAGCTCCTTCCACTTGCTAAATTAAATAACAAAATTTTTTGAAAAAAATATAAAATTTAAAATCCCAGATGAGTCTACATTGCGTAAAAATTATGTTAAAAAATGCTATTTAAATACAATACGAAATATTAGACAGTATATAGCTGATAAAAAATTTGGGTTAGTGTAGATGAAACGACAGAAGTTGAAGGCCATTATGTAGTAAATATCATTATTGGTACCCTGGAAGCAGAAAATTCAGGAAAAATATTTTTGTTATATTCTGATGTCTTGGAAATAACAAAATTCAACCATTGCAAAAGCATTTGACAAAGCTATGATTACATTATGGCCTGAAGGAATAAAACATGATAATGTCCTCATTTTTGTATCTGATGCTGCCTCATATATGGTGAAAGCAGGAAGAGCTATTTGCACTCTGTATATAAAAATGGTGCATATAACCTGTGTGATTCCATGCAATTCATAGAGTTGCAGAAGAAATATGATCAAATTTTCAAGATGTCAATAAACTTATAAGTTGCATAAAAAATTATATTTAAAATCACCATATCCTACAGAAATGTTTAAACACTTGCTCCAGAAATTCCTTTGCCACTCAAACCTGTAATCACGGGATGGGGATTCTGGCTAAATGCTGTAAATTACTATTGTGAGAATTTTTTTTATGTAAAAAAAAGTTGAACTTGAATTAAATCATGATTTAGAGGCTAATCTACTTTATATAAAATCTAATTTTGGTTTCATTCCTTCAGAAATAAAAAAGCTGGAGGCTTCTGGAATCTTATTATCAGAATCTATTAATAAAATAAAACAAATTGAGACTACATTGTTCCATGCTCCTAATGTAATCAGAGAAATAATATCAAACTGAAAAATGTTTTGATGAAAAATAATAAGTTCAAAGTTTTAAAAATATATCTGCTATTCTGGAGGGTGAAAATACAACAAGTATTTTTTTAGTGTATTATATAGGTCATTAAAATCCTAGCTCTAATAAAAAGTCAATATCTCTACAACAAAACATTGTTTCAAAATAAATTCATAAAACATTAACTGTTAATTTTCTAAAAATAATATTTTTATTTTTAATTTTAAAAAGAAAATAAAAAGAAAAAAAGAAAAATATTGAACAGAACAAACTTTACTTTACTTTTCTTAATTTAAGTAGGTTTAGGTTAATTTATGTTACAACCCATACCTGGTTATTTTCAATTATCTACTTATGTTTAAATAATATTAATCATTTAAAATGAAATATTACTGTTAACAATAGTATATTATACATTTTGTTATCTGGGATTATATACTTTTTTTTTTAAATTATGTTTTAAATAATTTTAAATTGTGAGTCGAACAAGGAATGATTATACAAAGATATTTATTTTATTTTTGATGTAAACATTTCTACCAGAAAGTATACTTTGATTATCAAGAGTAGCATTCTTCTGAAAGGAAATGTTCTCTGGGTGGTAATTTTTTGAAATAATCATTAATATTAGAGAAAAAAAAGAAAATCAAAAAAAGATTGTCATTAGCAACAAGTTTTTATTAAGTATTTGTTATCATTCTTTCAAATTATATTTATAAAATGCTAACTGTGAATTTTCTATAAAATATTAATTTAAATGTATTTAGGTTAATTTTATATTACGACCCATATATTGTGTTTATTTTTATTTATCTACTTTAATTTTTATATTTTATTGAGCATTAATCTAGAACAATTTGTTTTATTATATTTGATATTTTAATAATCATGCTAACCTCTATTTGTATAATAAAATATTTACTTTTAATGTAAACCAGCTTGAGTTTCGATAGAACTGCTGGCAAACTAATCCATAAACATGACAGCTAAATTCCCATTTGCTGCTAAATGATATGCTTGACAACATAAAATGTGACTGCCTTATTCTGAAATAATTCGATAAGTTTAGGTCAAAATGAAATATAACACAAGTAGATAATACAATAGCTTCATATGTAAAGATTGGCTCAATAATTTAAAAATTAATTTTTGTTTAACTTTCAAATTAACATTACATTTTATTCAATTTTGCCAAAAATTAAATGTTATGTGGTACATAAACTATTTATGATGTCACTTTAAAACCTTATTTCTACATATATAGAAATGAAATAAGGTATTTAAACATAATGGCAATGAATATTGTTTGCTTAACTGTCAAATCGCATTATGTAATTAAAGTAAACATTCATGACATTGGAACAAATATAAAATTATTGTAATATAATGATAATTCTATAATGATTATTCATTAGATATTATTAGTTGACCATTCATTTGTGAGTAGTGCTTATAGTATGTATAAAATATAAAATAACTTATAGTAAAAATGCTGCTATCAAAATAATTACACCAAAATGTAGAAGGCTGTATTAATTAATTCAAATAAATATTATAATTTTATATGCCAACAAAAATATGGGCACATTAAATAAGTATTAAAGAAAATCCAAGTACTATAAATAACAAAAATATATTTGATTTCAAAAGATAACAATAAAAATATGGCTAATGGCTACATTAAATTTAAACTGAATTCAATCTTCTATTAAGATATGTGATAAGACTAAAATTAACAAAAATATAATGTATTTATCTAAAATTGGAAAACTATTTACCAATAAAACATTTGTTTAAAATTTGTGGTGTTATTTTGCTCTATATGTGTATACTATTATTATATTCAGTAAGAGTTATTTAATAAATTCAAACATTTTTATAATATATTTACTAAGCCATTATTCATTAAACTATTTAATTTTTTACTACAAATCATTAATATACAAAAACAGTTTGTGTTAAATTGATTAGTTGATTAATATGTATAAATAATTTTAATGGTGATTTTTGGTTTTTTAATTTTTAACATCTTATTAGGAATTTTTTTTAAAAATTCACTGAATACTATTGAAAATTGACTAATTAGAAATGTTGCACTGTTTCATAAAAAACACTGACATTCAATCAACATACAAATTAGTATAATATTCAATAAATGTCATTAGTCAAATTGTCTATGTTAAATGTATTTCAATATGATTGTTACCAAAAAGGAATAATTATAAATATTAATAAATAACAGTACCTACTTTTGATTAGGCGATTTCAANTACAGACAACTTCTACTGGTTATGGATGTCTAAAACACTCAACTGTAATACCAAGTGTATGTTAGTTTCTTTTCACACAAAAGTTTATATGTTCAAATAATTAATATTTACAGAAAACATAATGACTTGTAGATGAGTTTTGATGGTTGTGGTGAAATCAAACACTCCAACCATTATAGTGGTAAGGTCTGAAAACCACTCGTTTCAAGTACCTTCATAAGTAGTTGTAATACTTTTATTTTGTTGGTTCCCATTTTGTGGCTTTTAACCATCTTGTTTGTCGCTTTCAATTTGTAGGTGTTCCCAGGAAACATAGGTTATTTCTAGAAAATATAGAAATCTTGTGTAACTGTTCCTAGTATTCATTTTACAATTAATATTATACAATAAATTTAAATTTTGGAAATTAATGCATCATTGTGGTCAAATGGATCCAGGCCCCAAGTTCACCATTAATAAATAGAATCATAACTGCTGCATTGACCTCTGCTAACTCTATGCATAGTTTTGCATCTTTTTAATTATTCATTATTCAAAAATATTGTTATCATCTTACAATAATTTTAAAATAAATTAATGAAAGAAAAATTGAATTGTTTATGTAATACTATATATGTTACCTCATGGCTTGTATTTTAGGAATGTTCAGAAAGGCCGTTGGATAATCTAATATATATTAACTATGACAACAGCTAAAACAAAAACCTAAAATTTTAAACGTTCATATTTTAATAGGTTATGAATGTAATTAGTATGTTAAATAACTTACTTAGAACTAACTTCACACGAATGGATAAAATATTGGAAATCTTAGATTGTTAACAATTTATGTTTTTTTTTTTATATAATAATGATTGTAACGATATTGATAAAAGATAGTGGTTGATAAACTTATGATAAATATGATTAAACAAAATAGGGTTTTCAGTTTGGTTGTATCGTTGTAATCGTAGGTTTTGTTTAAAATATAATCTATACCCAACTATAAAAAAAATATGATATCGAATTGAACCAAATCAGTATTACTGCATAGGTATAGTAAAAATGTAAGATTTACCATATATGCGCTAAGTAAAGACATAGGTGGGTACCTACCTTCGGATTAATTTACTAATTCGGGTATTCTAAAAATTCTTTTGGAAGAATTTAACGAAAAATTTATGAACAAAGAAAGAAATGTATTACATTGTTTTACATCAAGTTAAAACAAACCAGAAATAATAAACACTTACTATTTCATTTTTTTAATTCAACAAGACATGTTATTTATTTGTTTAATTAACATAATATTAGGCATAGGCGTACGCAAAACATTTTGCTGAGGATGTAAACCATCAAATTACTGTATATTAATATAATAATAATAAATAATAACTTAGTAGGATTCAGATGTTTATGAAATTGCATATTTTTATCTGCTTATCCGATTCAATGTTGACCTAGATTCAAATTCGATTCATGTTCTACTGCATATTTTATGGTTTTTATTTTAAATATAAATGCATATTCCAGTACATTTTCGAACATTTTTAAAAACAATTTAAATATTAAAAACGAAATATAAAGCAAAAAAAGTATACGATTTGAACAAATTAAAAACACTATTGTATTACGTTTTTATTGTAAATTATTATGTAATTTAGAAAATGTATAAATAAAAATAACTACTAAAAAGGTTACAAATAAAAATTAAATACTTAAAGTAAAACAATTTTTTTTCGCGTATTTTGGTGTTTTTTTTGTTAACTAAAAATTTATATTTTATGATGTTTGGTGCATATTTTGATTGTATATTTGGTAATTTTTTAGTGCGTAAATGCATACATATTATAGTTATTTAAAGTGCATAAACGTCCAATCCTATCTATACATCTATATTTTATTTGAAACATTTATCGACTTTTTTAATAGTTCCCGGGGTTTTTTTTTTTTTTTTTTTTTATTACCATTGTAGACACTTAGGTACCTAGTACATACAGAAAAAGTAATTCAAAAATTATTTCATTTGTATTGTAATCAAATTGTTATAGCTGTCATATAGGTAGGTATACCCACTACTATTTTAGTACTTACGTAGGTGTATACTTACATAATACACGTCATATTATGCAATTTATTCGTAGGTATTGAATTTGTATATTATTATTGGAACGATACGGACATTCCTTCCCTCCTCCGGCCGTTCATTTCTCGACGCTTTCAACAAATTCAGCTTCAGCTTCTTCTTTCAACAACTCTTGGACCTGTCAGTATCCTCGAAGGCAGTCATCTAATTGTTGAACGGGATCGTGACGTCGACACAATGGACACCGCATTCTTCTTCTTGATCACCAGATCCGGGTGCATGCGGTCTCTGTGATCCGACCACCGGATTCTCGCTGATAACCTGGTACCGCGTCCCGGCAACGATGGTGTTGTGCCTCGCCAAGTAGAGCGCGGTGTATAGTATGCAATGTTTGACGACGTAAAATAGGCTTTCTTTTATGTACCTACATTGCCGACACCTACGGTCACTGGTCCTCCATGTCGAGGAGCCGTTCAACGGCACCAAGTTCAGCCGTGCCCTATGGATGAATCTCCAGTCCGCGAACCGCGTGGAATTTCCTGACTTGATGAAGTTTGTAGAAGCCGAGTCGCCCACCACACATTCCATAGCACTGCCTTGGTCCAGCTTCGCGGCAAGGGTTTCACTCTTTTTCAGATGGAGCGATTCTCAGATGGTCCTCATGACCTCTCGATGTTGCTTTCGCCGGAGAACCACCTGCATACCCACGCAATTTGCGAAACACGCCGTTATCTTCGTCCAACAAGTACTGGCCCACCTCGGCTACATCCAGAGGATTCTGTAGACGCCTCCCAGCCGTCTCCTTGGCACGGAATGCTGCGTCCACCGCCAGGCGGTCGTCCGGTGACGTAAGTAGCTTAAAGCCGCTGTCGATCGCCGCGATGCCGCTATTCTTCGCAAGCCGGTATTCCGCATCCACCGCGTGCCACTTAAGTGGATAAACTCATTATCTCAGAAACATTATCCGGAATTTGTTTTCTAGAAAATTTAAGAACAAGCTACTCTACAATTTTATATTTATGTTATTTTTTCTCACCCTTATTTTTGAGGGTAAAACCACTAAGTACCTATTTTTGATTTTCAAACGGCAACCTATATTAAAAATGCCATAAATAAATGAAATATCAGTTAAAATAAATTTTAGAGATGAAATTTTTGATTTCTGTCAAGAATACTGTTCGAAGCTACACGCATGTCTTTAGTGATGTCCAACTGGCTGTTTTGTTTATTTTTAATTAGAGTAGTCCGGAAAATCCTTGTTCGCATAAATAAGTTGTTAAAAAAAATCACTAAATATCTTAATGCGACCTCTCAAAGTTTAGGATACGCAATTGCTTATTTTACACCAAAACTCTTCGATATGCACGCAAGATTCAAACGTATCCTTATAGTTTCGATGGTTTTGTAATTCTATCAAATCTTCCTAGTTATCATCGGGTAACTTATTGACATAAAAGTATTTCGGATACCTATCGTTTCGAAACCATTATATTCTGGGAAATACCGGGGAAATTCATTTTTAAGTTTAAAGTTTTAAAATTTGTTACACACGATTGTCGGTATTTATGTTACGTTCCAAAGGAAAAATGAAATATTTCAAAATTGTCTCAGTATTGCTCATGAACCACTACACAATGTCTTACGGACCACCAGTGGTCCGCGGACATTAAGTCGGGAACCTCTCTGCTAGGGCTTGTACATTATTTTTGTATTTCACTTACTCACATAAAATACGTATATTATTTTTAAAACCGATTCCACGCAATAATATTCAAACAAATAAAACTATACAAACGCAGTTCACCATACACTAAATTATTTTGTATTTGTAAATTGTACGACCAAAGCCACCCCCCCTCTTTCGCTCCCGGTATCCCGCCGGCCCGGGTTGACGTCCACCACTGATACCTGCTAACTTTCATGCAACGTTGCCACATCTATTTGTTACCGATAAAAAAATAAATTATTATAAATTAATATTTGGTACGTCACTATTAAGTAACTCGGTTTAAATAATTTATAAAAGTCTTGAAGATGCGTTTTCTTCAGTTTTTCGTTTACAATTTTCTCCTGATAATTTGTCTTTTAATTTTTTGCTCATTATTACTCACATAGTTGTGTTCTCCATTTACAGCTTGAAAAAGTTTATCGATTTTCGTTTATATAATATAATACCCAGGGCTGTATTGGAGGATATACAATGGTATATGCCGTATACCTTCTGGTTATGGTCGTATACTCTTTGTCATAGTGAAATCACAAAATATATTGTACAAATACAGCGAAACCTCCACTAACGGACACCTCCCAATAGCGGACACCGCTCAATAGCGGACGTTTTTTGGGGAACGTGGACATTTTCACTACTTTTCAATGGGAAAACCTCCGAATAGCGGACATTATATTAATCTTTATTTGAAAATAATACGTATTCACATTCGTATGTACTATCGTACTAATGTAATTACGATAACAAACTCGTTTTTATCGGGACGATAAAATTAGACAAATTCGGTTATCGGTGAAGCGGTTATGTGTTATGACAAAATTATGTCAGTTAGTGACGGTTAGGTACGCGATGACTACGCCAAATAAACGAATGTACTTTAAATAATAATAATTAATAATAATTTATAAAAATGTAATGATTTACAATAAATAATAATTAATAACATTATACATACATACATACATAGTACATTATTATACAAATAAATTTCAAAAATGTATCCCCTCTGAATAACGGACAAAATTTTGGTGACCGAGAGTGTCCGCTATTCGGAGGTTTCACTGTATTATTATTATGATTTTTGGCGGATTACGAAAACATAAGTTATTTACTATGTATACCATCTATTAAAATATTCGGTTGGACAATCTACTTGAGGAACGAGAACGTTACACATTTACCTAATAACGGTATGGTTGTATGGTTATAACTTATAGTATACCTTCTGCTTTATTTACGACTTCGGCACTAATATTACTAGCACTAACAATTTTTATCGGAACGTTTTCATTTCATTAAGCCGTTTCTGTGTTATCTTGCCAACGAATATTAATGATTATTGACTAATATAAGTTCTTTTTCACGTGCGGACATTGTAGTTTTAAAGTTTTCATTATAAACACTACGTTCTACGCACACTATTGCGTTCACGTTAGTACCGCTGTCCATCAAACAACTGAATTTGAAGATGGCTTATCCACAAGTTACGACTATGTGCAATACAATTATCTAATAATTGTTTACAGCGGAATGTAGGCTACGTAAACCGCAATATCGTATTTATTATGCTTATTTCAATAAACAAGCGTTAAAAAATTTAAATAGATCACAAAGCCGCTTGAAAAATCGTTCGCGGTCGTTTTAATATTACGAGGTATATAAATAAGGCTGCGCGATTGATTCGATTAACAATCGATGAAAATCGTCCACTTTCTTATATTCGATTAATCGATTATAATCGAAAAACGGTTAGGATAATCGATTATTGCGGGACAAAAAAATAAAACGCAGCCCTAGGTATAAAACATAATTTCTTCGATGTGCCGACAACCGTTCGCAACCGCGATTACCAAAAGGCTAAAAGTTCGTAATCTGGGTACCTATACCGGTAATTGCAACGGTAACGTTTCGGGCGGAAATTATATAATTGTGAAAATGTTATCATATGCGCGGGGGGGAGGGGCAAAGGGGAGTGACTCGAAAGTACTACATGACGACTTACGAAACCTTTAAAAATCTTGGCCACCGTGGTTTTCAATATAACGACGGAGTGTAATTCTTGTCAATGTTGTTAAACAGACATTATTGATGAACGATATTACTGACGGCGGCCATCAATAAAAATCAAACGTTTTTAATTTGTTCGATGTATTGACCAATCGATGATATAATCGATCGTAGGCCTTTACGCGCAAAAATCGGGCAGTTTACAGCAAAGAAAACGGGGGGGGGGGGCGGGGGAAACGAACTTTGAAACATAGAAAGCAAAAATAAAGAGACCGGGCGCACAAAATATTAGGTGTATAGTAACGGAAACAACCGGCGCGATAGAAAACGAGATCGTTATCACCGTACCGCGGTAATGGGCCCCGATCGGCTACAGGTGACCAGTGTGACCGGTTGCGACTCGCGGGTCCGCGCGACGGGCCCTGCAACTTTCATACCCGCGTACCGCTTGGGCCGCGCGCGCCCGCGTCGTTTTGTTTATTCTGCCAAGAACCCAACGATGGATCTCGTCACGGAAACGTCGGTCACCGTTACTCTTCGACGTCTCCCTGTCCCCTCTCCCTCCCCTCTGTCGGTCACCGTTCGCGTCACTCCCGCAGTGAGTTTTCGACGGGACGTTGTCGCGCTCGCAAAATCGCCGTTTCGTGCGGTTTTTTTTGTGTTTTTCTATAGTGACACGATGGGTAATACTGTAATAACGTTGTGTTTATTTTCGTTTTATCGTCTTATCACGGCGTTCGCATTAACGTTTTCGTTTACGGGCGACGCGATGTCGACGGCGTACAAAATACAAATACGGCGGGGCCGACGCGGGCGCCGCCGCGGTTACCGTCCGTCAAGAATCCCCGGCAGGCGCGAAACATCCGCGGTTCTCGGTGAGTACCCAACAGCGTGTTATAATATTCAATAGTCATCGTCTCATTGGCGAACTCTGTACATTATCATGATTACTGTATTTATTTATACAGTTATTTGAATTTTAAACGGGCCAGGCCCAATTACGCGGGTTATTATAATCACAGTCGTTCGCCAACAATGAAATACAATATAATCTGTATAATACTTATGATGCACGTATGATGCGATACTTAAGTATGCAATTACAATATATTTTTAACGAGTTGAAATTTGGCGATATGAACAGATCGATTTTTAATTTATTTATAGATTTCATAATTCTATTGAAGGGGTTATTGCTAGCATAATTGGTTACATCAGTGTTAAGATAAAATGTATTTATGGGCCGGGTGTTACGAGTAGGGGTATGGACGGAGAAACGACTTAGGAACTCAGGATAGTCAATTTTTCCTGTGAACAGCTTATACGCAAAGTATGAATCTAAGTGTTCTCGAGGGAAAGAAACGACAAAATTGGGGCGTACGAAAAAAACGCGGTTCTCTGACTATTGAACATTTAAATGAGTTTCGCTGAATTTTTCCAATATACAATTTATCACGCGATTGGTATGGAGACCGTATTGTTGAGCCATATTCGCAAACAGAACGTACCAAACGGCAGTAAATGGACTTTAAAGCTAATGAATCATTAAAATCAGCCAATAAAACCAGAGATTCTGTTTGATTTGTTTTCAGTGTTGTTAATATGATATTCAAATTTAAGTTTAGTAATTTAGTTAACCCGGTCGTTATAGTGGCGGTGAGTACCTGCAAGTTATAATGAACCAATCGATTATACGTTATAATAATCAAAAGATTCTTCTAAAATAAATCGATCATTTCATATATCGGGTATTGATCCAAGCGCGTATCCCGAATTCTATTTCGCGAGACGGAGGGGCCGATCAAAATGTTTAAACATATCGTCATATAGTGAAATAATAATAATAAAAAAAAAAAAAAAAAAAAAAAAAAAATGCATAATGTAATCGATTAAAAACACTTTCTTACAAGTAAACTCATACGAACACGGTCTACATAATATACACTGAATGTAAACGTAGAATTATTGGCGAGGCACAATAATGGTTTTGGATTACCAGTAAACTATAGACGAAACTTGAACCCAAAATATACTAAACAGCAAACACGAAGCGTACTTGAGTTCAATTGCGAAAATATTATGCTTGACATAAACGTAGAATACCCGGTTCTGCTCACCAAAAGTATCCGAATTATACACCATACATCAACCGAAATTACTTCGCATTTAAACGAAACATATTGCATCACATATATACAGATATATGCATACATGCACGTGGTAATATATACACGTCTAATAATATACAGGCTGTTTACACGATTAGTTTTGGTGAAACGGTCGTCTGGAACCACAGCGGTACACGTAGATTCTGTCCCGACAACGCATCAAACTCCTTCGTACAAAATACGTAATTTGTTGTTCACGCAGCGCGTATTATTATTATTCGTATGCTATACAATTGTGTTTACCGAACAGACGCAAAGGTTGGAAGGTCGTTATTGCGGTGTGCTGTAGAGCGTACGCGAAATAATGTTTATCGGTGCAATTATTGGGAAAGCGCGCTGGCTCCCCGCCTCTCGGCGATCGTTATCGACGGGTTTGTTAATTAATTTCTACGAATCCCGGTGTTTCGTCCGTGAGCGATAAGACAAGCCGGTAAAATAGAGATTAATTTTGAAAATCAATAGGACGCAATATCCAATCCCGTTGTTGCGGTTGTCGTGGACCGCCGTTGAAATTAATTTTTCGATTTTCTTACGATTTCGGGGCGGGAGGGGGCGAGGAGGAGGTTGGCTGCGGCCCACTCAGCCGGCAAATAAACACAACCCCAGTTTTGATGCGAACACGTCGTTCAGTCCACCTCACCGAGACGAACCGCTGGGATCGAATATCGAATCGGGCGCATCAAATATCATTCACTCCGCATCTCTTCCCGTCGCTAGACTATAATATCATTGTTTTTGTCGTTTTCCGGCGGCGGCGCCGGCCGGACAACTCGGGGTTTTCCCGTATTTTCGCGACGGGCGACGCGCTCTGTCCGCGGACGAATGGTGTGCCGTGACGCAAATGCAATTTCGGCAGCCGTCTTTGGCACAGTTTCCGGCGCGCACCAACAGTATTTACTAGCCTTTACTGTAATCTACTGAAATGAACAAGTAGCAAGTACCGCGGACGTCGAATAGTCATTCGAAGAAGTCTTCAAAGTCACCGGTCCTCTACGACCGAACCGGTGGAGAAGTAGGAATGCCGCGGTACCCGGTCGCGCCAAACTTGTCCGATACCTATTTATTTTATTGATAAATTCAATGTAAACTATATTTTATACTGTATGCTGTGTTGAATTTACGAGTGTTGCTCAGTCATTGTTTTATACTGTTGTATTCGAGTTGTTACCAAAATACCGGTTAACGGACAATTAATAGTTCCACTGGACCGGCCACTGTAGGACCACTGTTGTAAATGAAAAGTCGGGACTAAAGTAGGGTATAGAGGGAAATTTAATGTATATCTGTTAGCAAAAATTAATTATTGCTAAGTAAGTACCCGTAAAGTTTTTGATCGGCAGGATTTCTCCACTCTGCGCTCAGAATCTAAGAGAGTATTCACTGAATGATGGGTGAACGGATGCTTTTGTTGACTGCGTGTACTCTCAACATTTTTCTATACGCCACTGTAACTC